GGAGGAGGAGGATGGGGAGGGAGGAGGGAGGAAGAAGAGGAGGAGGAGGAAGAGGAGGAGGAGGAGACAGAAGAGAAGGAGGAGGAGGATGAGAAGAGAGACAGACAGACAGAGAGAGATGAAGGAGGAGACTATATTTTTAGTCGAAATATAAACTGACAAAAAAAAGTGTTAATGATTAAAACCAACCGATAACCATCGTTTTATTTTTTTCGCCAATAATCTAAATTGTATATGCTATACTTGTTTTTTTTTTCTATGGCGCTAATCGAGATATAATATAAACGAGGCTATGAAAGATATATCAGTAAACAATTTGTTACATACATTTCATTAAGTTCACTTGACGTACATTTTATATTTTGACTGCCGTAAACTCATTTACCTTAAATTGTTATATACTTATTAAAGCTCTTTTTTTTTAAGTGAAATAAAGATTATGTTGTTACTTCCCTTAAAGTACTCTAAACAAACCAATAATGAATGAACTCTATAGACAATACAAACATCTCACTAAAATCCAAGCATAGATCAATCACATCAGTGTTTTTGTCTGTCATATCTTATCTTTAAAGACATGTCACTCACTCACCTAACTTGGCCCGGGATGGCACTGATGCCAAGAGCAGCAGCCCACACAGCAGCTCACAGCGCCACATACTCGGTTGCACTACGCTGTGGAAATCAGGAATGGCCTTGAAGTTGGGGGAGCGATAGAGGGGTGGGGGGGGGGTAGGAGGGGGAGGAAGGGGGAGGAAGGGGGGGAAGGGATAGAAGAGGGGGTAGGAGGGTGGAATGGGGTGGGAAGGGGGGGTGGGTGGGATAGACGGTGGGAGGATAGACGGGCGTAGGGGGGTTAGGAGGGGGAGGAAGGGGGGAGGGGATAGTAGAAGAGGGGGTAGGAGGGTGGAATGGGGTGGGAAGGGGGGGTGGGTGGCGATAGAGGGGGGGCGGTAGGAGGGGGGGGTGAGTGGAATGGGGTGGAAGAGAAGGGGGAGATGGGGTAGGCGGGGGGGGTAGGAGGGGGGAATGGGGTGGAAGAGTAGGGAAGAAGGAGGAGGCGGAGATGGGGAAGAAGGGGCGGGAATAGGATAGGAAGGGGGGTGTGGTGGAAGAGAGGGGGAGATATGGGTAGATAGGGGGGGGGGAGATTGGGTGGAAGGAGGGGATGGAATAGAAGGGGGGGTAGGAAAGGGAGGATAATGAGGTGGAAGAGAAGGGGTAAATGGGGCAGTGGAAGGTGGAGGAGAGAGATGGGGTGGAGAGGAGGGGGGGTGGTGGAAGAAGGGGTGACATGAGGTAGACGGGAAAGGGAAATGGGGATAAGAATGGAGATGGGAAGAGAGGGGGGGGGTAAGAAGGGGTGAATGAGGTAGACGGGAAAGGGAAATGGGGAAAGAATGGGAGATGCAGAGTAGGAAGAGGGGAATGGGAAGCAAAGGAGATAGGGGGGGAGGGGGAGATGGGTTATTTATTTGTGAATATAATTACGTTGGAGAGAAGGGCTCAGATGGGTATACGGGGGGGGGGAGGGTCATGAATGGGGGGGTAATGGGTGGGGAGATAGGGTAGGAGGGAGGGGGGGGATGGGGTGGAAGAAAGACAGACATGGGGGATGAGAAAACACAGGGGGGGGGGGGGATAAGAGCTAGGGTTATTGAGAGGAAAAGGTAAAGGGGAGAAGAATGGGGGGAGGGACGGGGGGGGGGAGACGTGAAAGGGCATGGGGAGGGGGGGAGAATGGGGGAGGGAAAGGGGAGAAGATGTGTGAGGGGCGGGGGGGGGGAGATGGGGGTAGGACGGAGTAGATAATAAGGAAGGGACGAAAGAAAAATGGGGAAAGGATGAGAGAAAAGGAGAAGACAAGAGGAAAATGGGGGAAGGATCGAGAGGCAAACGGGGGAGGGACGGAAGGAGAAAATGGGGGGGGGAGGAGAACGAAAGGAAGGGAAGCAGGGACGGAGGACAAAAATGGGGGATAGACAGACAAAAAATGGGAGTCGAGAGGGAGGGAGTGCAATGTAAACAGCTGATCTTCGAGATTTTGTATGACGTCACTTGTTGCCAGGCCGGCTTGGTTATTGCGTAAAGGGGAAAACCTTTACTTAAGGAAATCCCGATTTTTTCTTCGAATGACAGTTAAATATACATACAAATAAGAACAAATTAAGATTAGCGCATTCATAAAAAAGACACTTAAATATATGAAACACGCGTAAATATTTGTTCTATATACGCCTTAATATGTCGGCAATATACAGTTCGTTTTCTTCTAAGTAGCTGCAATATATGTAATATCTGCACCTTCTTGCATTAATGAATACTATCTTGCAATCACAGTTCCCACCTTTTCTCAGCATCTTAACTTATCGTTGCTTATCTCATATCTCTCGTATTACTTGACATTTTCTTTTTTAGAATTATAATTAACTATCGATAGTTTCCCAGTGTCGTGTACATTATTCTTTGTCTTTTATCTATCAACGTAATTATCTTTATA